AGAAGACTGAGCTGACCACAGTTTGGCTGGGGAGTAAGGCCCGGTTTGTAATCAGTTAACTGGTAATGGGCAAGTTGTTTATTTGGATTCCCATCATCCCAACAAAGCTGTGCTCTGTCTCTCGGTTAAATTACCCTGTTTGAATTTACTAACTGCATACTCCAGACTGACATCTGGTTAACCTCACTCTGCATTTTCACTCTACTTGTTACAGTAGGAAAGTGAATGTCTCAAGCCTATGCTCCTGAGGGGTGGAGACTATATAAATGGAAAGGCCCACAGAGGTATGTAAGCATTATGCCCACCTTTGTTTGTTTGTTTTTGCTGGCCGTGGGGCTTGAACTCTGGGCCTGGGCGCTGTCCCTCAGCTCTTCAACTCAAGGAGAGCCCTCTACCACTTGAGCTACAGCGCCACTTCCGGTTTTCTGGTGGTTTATTGGAGATAGGAGTCTCATGGTCTCTCCTGCCCGGGCTGGCTTTGAACTGAGATCCTCAGATCTCAGCCTCCTGAGTAGCTAGGATTACAGGCGTGAGCCACCAGTGCCCGGCTTATGCCCACCTTTGGTCCTCAGCTCCACCCAGACCTCAGCTCCTCCCTGCCCTGGAGTTCCCAGCACACAGCTGGCCCCTCCCTCTCTCCACCCAGACCCATCTGAGCTCCCTTCTACCTCACTTCCTATCCCCAGACCCTGCTATCTAGATAGTGGAGGTCACCATGTGCTCTCTCTCCCCTAATAAACCTTGTAATAATCTTTCTCTTGTGCCTGCCTGCCTCCGCGTGGTCCCCTGGAATGGCTGTGATGGATCCTTTCATTGGTGGCTCTATGGGGATAGGTTCCCAGTGGATTTGCTACCCCGGCTCCACTTTGCATGGGGGTCCGACCAGCTCCCCCAGGACCTAGCCTGAGATCCTACATTCCTATCGCCAGAGGACCACCAAGGTAACTTTCTCCTGACTGAGCGCTCTACCTGCTGCCCAACTCCAGCTAATTAAGTCCTACCTCCAGGTAAGTGAAGAGTCTTAGATTTCACTGTGCAGGCTCCAGGCCTCTGTTGGGAGGCCTCAGGGCCCCCCCCCCAAAAAAAAAAAAAAACTTGGCCAAGTATCTAGCTGATGGCCTCTGTGGCCAATGGCTTCCATGGCTAAAGGACACTGAGGAGAAATGTGACAACATTTACCACTGGTTGTTTCCCACTTTTTGAGCCAAATTCACTGTCGGAGACGCTAGCAGTCAGATTTTGGTTTCACCATCACTTACCATGGAAAAGGACAGAACTAAATTTCCTTACAATCAAATTTGGGCCCGAATTTAAAAGCGCTCAGGCAGGTAAAACTCTTTCCCTCCCTCCTTCCTTCTCTCTTTGTCTCTCTCCCTCCCTCTCTCTACCTCTCCATTCCAACTTAATGTAAAAGTATGGATGACTTTAAGTTTAAACTCCTCCTCTTCAACCTCCCCTGAGAGGCATCCCCTCACTCTGCAACCTCTCCTGGGGCCCCCTCCTCTGCCTTTGTAGGGGGGGGGTGGAACCTGAAGCTCCATGTGTGCCAGAAGCAATGCACCCTCACTGTCAAAATCTTCAGCTTTCTCTAGCACTGACCATGTGGCAGATGCGCTACCTTGGCATCGTGGGAGCTCAGCTGCTATTTCTCGCCAACTTGATTTCACTCCAGCTCAACTTGATTCTGTGACTGCCCACACTGACCAGCGGCGCCATGATATCGTGCCACATATCTGATCATGTCTTGTCTCCTGTTTACTAAAAGTTTCTTGTTGTTGGCAAAGTTTTGTGTTTTAAACTGACCACATGGCTCCATCACAATTAGGCAAAATAATTCCAATAAACCTTAAATGGCCAATTTTAAAATCTAAGCATGCTCTATAATCTGTGCACAAACATGGCTATTTGTCTATATGTAAACAATTATGGTTTCAAGGTTACCAAGTATTCTGCTTACTAAAAATCTTTGTCAATGTGATTTAATCCAAATTGCTTTAAAACTTTGGACCTGACTATAAGCCAAAGAAAAAACAGGAAGTTTTAAAAGACCTTAGGAAAGGAGTTAGAAAAGATGGTTTCCTTTGGAAAGTAAATGAAATTCGTAATTAAGTTGGCTGTGATTTATGTCATTCCTATGTCCATCTATGCTAAGAGTTAAATATTGTACCTTTGACCATGGCTAGTAAACTAAGGCTAAGGTTTTAATTCTCCATTTTCTCCCCTGTGCGGATCAACTCCCAAAGTGAAACCAGTGGCACCAGCCTGCAAAAGCCAGTGTGAAGCAGGTCTTCAACCAATATATGTAGAAATGTTTGCAGGTAACCAGCAGGAGGTGTGACAGATTCCACAGCCCCTCGCCCAGACTCCAGCCTTGCTCCATCACACATGACAAAAGCCTGCTAATTTAAGGTAAAACACAAGCCACCTCAGGTATTTGTTTCTGTAGTGTTAATCCCCACAAGTTAGACCATAAGGGGTGTATAAACAAAGGATATAAGTTGACTTCTATGCTACTTTACATTGGATGTATTTCTAAAAGAAAAATGTTGCTACAGTGCTAGTACATTAAAACTGCTAATTTCCTCAGACTGCAGAAAAATGTGGCCAGTTTAAACCTTGGGCCCAAGAGGTAAAGGGTGCAGCCCAGTGTTTCAATGAAGCATTTAAATGAAAATTAACGCAATTAAAGTGACTTTTTAAAAATTAAAAATGGAAGTTCCCTTTGTGAAAAGTTGTGAAGTTGTCGGGAGTGGCTGGCCTCCCAGACAAAGTTTAAAATTAAAATTGTCTTAAAGGTTTCTTTAAAGTCCGAAAAGATAAATTAGGATTATCAGAACAATCGTTTAATAAATTCATCTGTTAAGTAAAAAAGTTTAAAGACCTGAGATTATGTCCCTATTGAGATCTGCCTAAATCAGGTTCCTCAGCCAGCCAGAAAAAATGCTTTTATAAACCAGAATGTTAAACAGGCTACCCTGCTGTAGCCCATGATATAAACCACTTCAAACAGGCTGCCCAGAGGCAATGGGTGGTACTTAGAATGCCAATCAGTCCCAGTTTTAAAACATCCTACTGGGTTTTATTAGAAAACTCTGGCAAGTAATTGTTAGTCAATTGTTAACAAGTTATAGGTAACCTCTATCTCACTGATCTCGTTGCTTTAACTGGAAATAAAAAGGGCTTTTATAACTAAGACTCCTTTTGCCACAATTCAAAGCCATCCCGGGCACAAAGAATCCCTCTAAAACTCCATCTCCCAGCTAACAGCACAGAGCCAGGCTGGAGGCATGGCTCGAGACTCACCTCTAAGCATTCAGCCAAAGGCTGAAAGTGGCATTGTGACTCTTAAGTGGTAGAGCAATAGCCTCGAGCGTAACTGCTCAGGGACAGTGCCCAGGCCTTGACTCTAACCTGGTAAATGCCAATTGGGACAAGCTATCCCAGCAATGGATGCTGAGACACAGGCTAGGACAACGTCAGTCCTGACAATGGAAAACCTTGGAGAGGAGTTAGAGGAGATGACGTCCTAAATGGAGTCACTTTATGCTCACCCTTTCAAAATTAATCAGAGCTGGGAGATCAAGAGAAATAGTTTTTGCCCACCTAATGTCCATACCTGTCTACCTTCTAACTGGACAGAAAGTTAACAGTCTTACCTTTGTCACCTGCTAATTTGTATTTATAGGAGCCTCTGACTAGTACTCCTAACCAGTCCATTATGCTCTCCCCTAACCAGTTACCCAAACAACTATAGACACCCCCTTCTTGCCTGGAGACCAGTTATTCCTCCATCCCTGTAATGGGCTGCAACTAGACTTATACTCCCAAATGGAACTTTTCTGGCCCATGATCAATGTGTGTTCTCCTATATCATTCATGTTAACTGACCTTGTCACCTTGTCAGCCTTTTGCCTGATCTTTCCAAAAGTCTCTTTCAACAGGATAACATCTCCTGCCCAGGATACCACTTGGGAACAAGTCAAGGCCATCCTGCTCCTATACGCAACCAGAGATATCACTTACACTGCCTTGCCTAGCCCAGCACAGAGCCGGATCCTAAAAACCCCAGCTCCAGGGATTCCTTGATGCCCCCAAGCCAGCAGGAAGTACCCAAAAGAGCCCATGACACCAGTTGGCTCTGGTACCTTTAACTATCTTTGCTATCTCCTCCTCAGGTTACTGTGATCCTAAAGCAGGAAAAATCTTACTCCCCCTCCTCTATGGATACTAGGAGTCAGGTATCATGCTATATCTCCAATTTGAGACAGAAAAGGCAATTTCAGGTCTTTGATAGCCCTGTCTGGCAATCAATCCCTCCAAGGCATATTCCTCTCTTGGGGTACTAACAACCATTTTTTGCCTTTTTATTGTCTTGCATTTTAGCAACCTGTCATGGAAAAAGAAGGACCTTTACCAAGCACCATCAAGCAGATGCTTCTTGGATGGTATCTGGCCAAGCAATGAAACAGCGACCCCTGACTACTTCGCCCCTTTACAGCAGGAAGTAGCTCCAGAAGAAATGGCCTCTGCCCATTACCCCTCCCCCCCCCAACTTCTGGTACCCCCTATTTTTATTAAACAACAGAGTGGGGAATGTAAACATTATGCCCACCTTTGGTCCTCAGCTCCACCCAGACCTGAGCTCCTCCCTGCCCTGGAGTTCCCACCAGACAGCTGGCCCCTCCCTGTCTCTGCCCAGACCCACCTAAACTCCCATCTACCTCACTTCCCACCCCCAGACCCTGCTGCCTAGACAGTGGAGCTGCCGTGTGCTCTCTCTGGGGGACAAATATGGCTCCTCTAATAAACCTTGTAATAATCTTTCTCCTGCACCTGCCTGCCTCCACATGGTCCCCTGGGATGGATATGATGGATCCTTTCAAGGTGCACTCTGAGCAGTAAACAAAATGGGCAGGAAACTCCATTGACTCCAACTGTCAGAATCAACAACCTCCCTGAATGAGGCCTAAGGGGTTTCATGGCAGGTTTGAGACACTTACCAAAACACACTTCCCTGGCTCCAGGCTCCAAAGGGAACTCTCAGTGTTGATCTTGTGGGTGAGCTTCCCTTCCATGAGAACACGTTCCCCATTTTCCTCTAGCACAGCTACACGGATGGAGCCACTGCTGAGGGCCACTGCGACCTGAGAACAGAGCAGAGGAAATTATCTTGTCTGTGAGGGTGGCAGTGGTGCACTGTACGAGTCTATACACTACAGCTCTTGGGCTCAGCAAACATCTCAGTAAAGTAAGCTGTTCCAGCCTTATCCACACTCCCACTTTAAGCCATAGCTCCACGTCCAGTTTTTGAGTGGTTAATTGTGGTTAGTCACAGGGACTTTTCTGCCAGGGCTGGCTTTGAACTGTGATCCTCAGATCTCAGGCTACAGAGTAGCTAGGATTATAGGCATAAGCCACCAGCATCCTCAGCTATTTTGGTTGTGTTTTTCTCTGTTATTTGATTTACAGGATAACTGCATAAAGCACAAGTCGCACTTACACAATGGGATATACAGAAGGAGAAAGGAACACTTTCGTATGTTATTAAAATGAAACTGGAGCCGGGCACCAGTGGCTCATGCCTGTAATCCTAGCTACTCAGGAGGCTGAGATCTGAGGATCAAGGTTCAAAGCCAGCCCAGGCAGGAAAGTCCGTGAGACTCTTATTTCCAATAAACCACTCAAAAACCAGAAGTGGCGCTGTGGTTCAAGTGGTAGAATGCTCGCCTTGAGCTTAAGAGTGCAGGGACAGCACCCAAGCCCAGAGTTCAAGACCCACGACCAACCAAAAAAAAAAAAAAAATTGGCACTTATCTGAAATAAATACAAACACTAAGAAAATATTAATTTAACAAAAAAAATCCAGTTACAAAACAACCAGAGAATAAAATACTACTCTAGTAAATCTCCCTGAGCTCCTTTTTGCTCAAGACTAACCCTCTACCCTTTGAGCCACAGTGCCAGCTTTTTCTGGGATTAATTCGAGGCAAGGGTCTCACAGGCTTTCCTGCTAGGCTGACTTTAAACCATGATCCTCAGATCTCAGCCTCCTAAGTAGCTAGGATTACAGGCTTGAGCAACCAGCTCCTGGCAAAAATCTCCATTTTAACAAATAGAAAACATTAATGCAGAACAGAAGAAAGACAAACCTCACTGTAAAGCCAAGGTTAAAAAAAAAAATCTGGGGCTGGGAAGGTGGTTCAGTGGTAAGAGTGCTTGCCTTGCATGCATGAGGTCCTGGGTTCGATTCCTCAGCACAACATAAGCAAAAAGAAAAAAGCTGGAAGTGGCGCTGTAGCTCAAGTGGTAGAGCACTAGCCTTGAGCTGAAGAGCTGAGGGACAGCGCCCAGACCCAGAGTTCAGGCCCCACAACTGGGCCCTCCTCCCCGCCAAAAAATCTAGGCTCAGTGATACAGTGCTGACCTAACATGTATACACATGCACACAAAACACACACAGTCTAGAAAAGTGTCAAGGTATGTGCCAGGTATGTGTGAAGTATAGTGGCACATACCTGTAATCCCAATACTTGGGAGAGAGAAACAGTAGGATCTTGAGTTTAAGGCTACTATAGACTACATAGTGAAGTGAAACTACACAGGCAGCCTGAGTTACAAAGTGGGAGCCTGTCTTCCTATAGACTTCAAAAAAGAAAATTAGGTCTGGGAATGTGGCTTAGTGGTAGAGCACTTTCCTACCATGCATTGAAGCCCTGAGTTCAATTCCTCAGTACCACATACATAGAAAAGGCCAGAAGTAGCACTGTGGTTCAAGTGGTAGAGTGCTAGCCTTGAGACCAGGGACAGTGCACAGGCTCTGAGTTCAAGCTTCAGGACTGGCAAAAAAAATAATAATAATAATAATAATTAGGCTGGGACTGTGGCTTAGTGGTAGAGTGCTAGCCTTGAGCACAGAGAGGTTCAGAGACAGTGACCAAGTCCTGAGTTCAAGTCCAAGACAAAGAAGGAAAGAAGGAAGGAAGGAAGGAAGGAAGGAAGGAAGGCTCTTGAGCTAGTGGCTCAAGCCTGTGATCTTATCTACTCAGGTGGCTAAGATCTGAAGACTGCAGTTTGAAGCCAGCTCAGGAAGAAGTCTGAGACTCTTATTTCTAATTAACCACCAGAAAAGCCAAAAGTAGGGTAGGGCTGTGGCTCAAGTGGTAGAACACTAGCTTTGGGCAAAAAAAAAAATTCAAACACACACACACAAAATTCAAACACACACACACACACACACACACACACACACACACACACACACACACACACACACACCCTAACAATTCAATTAAAACATTTTAACAAAGATACACATATAAAACATGTGAAAGGCATTCATCAGTATCATTCACTGGAGAAATGAACCACAAAGAAAAAAAAAACAAAAGAATCATTAAACCAGTGGGCTGGGAAGGTGGCTCAGTGGTAGAGTGCTTGCCTTGCATGCATGAGGCCCTGGGTTCGATTCCTCAGCACCACATAAACAAAAAGAAAAAACCCGGAAGTGGCACTGTGGCTCAAGTGGTAGAGCACTAGCCTTGAGCTGAAGAGCTGAGGGACAGAGCCCAGGCCCAGAGTTCAGGCCCCATGACCGGACCCACCCACCCCCCAAAAAAAAGAATCATTAAAGCAATAATAAAGCAAATTCAACAACTAGGCAAAATTAAATGAAGAAAATACAGGACATTCAAGACCATATGAACACGAAGTGAGATGGTCTCACTCACATAGCCCAGACTGGCTTCAAAATCATAACCTTCCTGCCTCAGGTTCCTAAATGCTAGGATTACAGGCATGTATTATCATGCCCATGTAGTTCACTGTTGGTACTGAAGGGGTTTGAACTTGGTAGGCCAGCACAATGTTTCCGGCTATGCCTTGCCCCTGATTTTCAATGGCTACTTTAAGGACAGAGCCTCCCATCTCCACCCAGGTATGGGCCTGATCTTTAATCCCATATTGCTGGGATTCTTGGCACATGTCATCCTTTCTGTGAACATGGGAGTCTTCTGAATTTTTCTTCTTGAGCAGGCTTGGGACTGGGATCCTCTGATCTTAGCTTCCCACATAGCTTTGGAAGACAAGTATGAGCAACTTCATCCAGAGGTCAATTAAGAAGGGAGTTTCTTGAGCTTTTTTGACCCAGTGTGTACTTGACCCATGGTCCTACTGATAGCAGCCTCCCATGTAGCTAAGGTTGTAGGTATGAACCACCTCTAGCTTTGGAATAATATTGTTATCAAAGAAAGATGGGAAATGATCATGAATGTACTGATTCTCTTTTAAGATCTTTGGCAAAATTATGTGTTGTACAGTGAACTTATTTTTCCTTGAAATGCCTTGGTTTTCCTCCTGATAAAGATGATAAAATAAGGAAAAAATGAACAAATAAAAAAATGTTAAAGCTCTGTAGCCCATAATTGAATGTCTTGGTATTTATACCTAAGGGAACTGAAATCCCATGTGAACAGAGGATAGAGGCATGGGAGAGGTGTAAAGGAGGTACACATGAGAGAACACTGAGACCTATCTCAGGACAAGTCCTGGGACACGAGTGAGAAATCTGGAGAACCGCTAAAACTACCCAGAGCTGCAGTGATGATCTACTCACTGAGCAGTGAGTAGACGGCACACAAGTGTGTTGGGTGTAGACAGCTCCATGAGCACATCCACACTAGCTGAGCAGAAAAGTCATATTCAATACAAGAACTGGGGTTTTTTTTGTTTTTGTTTTTTGTCAGTCGTGGGGCTTGAACTCTGGGCTTGGGCACTGTCCCTGCACTCTTCAGCTCAAGGTGAGTGCTCTACCACTTGAGCCACAGTGCCACTTCCAGTTTTCTAGTGGTTTATTGGGGAGAAGAGTCTCACGGATTTTCCTGCCCGGGCTGGCTTTGAACCTTGATCCTCAGATCTCAGCCTCCTGAGTAGCTAGGATTACAGGCGTGAGTCACTGGTCCCCCGGCTGGTTTATTTTTTTTTTAATTTTTATTTTTTTATTGTGAAAATACTGTACAGAGGGGTTACAATTACATGGGCAAGACAATGAGTACATTTCTTATCAAGCATTGTAGCCTCCTCCTTTGTTTCCCCTTCCCACCCTCCCCCCGCCACCCCCTCTCCCCCAGCTGGTTTATTTTTATTTCATTTTATTTTTATTTTTATTTTTTTGCCAGTCCTGGGGCTTGGACTAAGGGCCTGGCCACTATCCCTGAGCTTCTTTGCTCAAGGCTAGCACTCTACCACTTGAGCCACAGTGCCACTTCTGGCTTTTTCTGTTTATTTGGTACTGAGGAATCGAACCCAGGCTTTCATGCATACCAAGCAAGCACTCAACCACTAAGCCACATTCCCAGCCCCAAGAACTGGTTTAAAACCCAAGGCACTCCCCACTAACACAACCAAACCATTTTCATCCACACACAACAGACAATATATATAACTCTGACTTGTTTCTAAAAATTTCCATTTCAAAAAAATCAATACTAGTATTCAGTTATATCTCTCTAATTTTGTTTCATTCCAAGTTCACCAACTCTGTTGTTCAGGTTCTGGTTTTGTTTCGTTTTTTTTTCTTCTTGAAATGATAATCAGATAGGGGCCTCCCTCATGCTAGATAAAATCCACTACATTAAGCTTCCTGGTATTTTTTTAAACAGCTGAATTTTGGAATGTTTATCTAACAAATACAATGAGACGACCAATTGCAAGTGTTATAATTCATATCATCGGAAGTTGTTCGCTATTAACAAATGTGAAAAGGCCAAAATTGCCACAGAAAAGGAGCTTCTATTTAAAAACGTATTTCTATAACAAATTAGAAACCAGTGGCAATGTAGCTCAAGTGGTAGAGCGCTCGCCTTGAGCTGAAGAGCTGAAGGACAGCACCCAGGCCCAGAGTTCAAGCCCCACAACCGACAAAAAAAAAAACAAACAAATTAGAAACCACTAGTAGAATTTAGGCAAAGTTGCTCTAATGGGAAGAAGAGCAAAGCAGATAATTAGACAGTGAAAGTTCAAATATTAAAGAAACTATAGGAAGTGGCGCTGTGACAAAAGTGGTAGAGCACTCGCCCTGAGCTGAAGAGCTCAAGAACAGCACCCAGGCCCAAAGTTCAAACCCCATAACTGACTGAAAAAAAAAATG